GTCATGCATAATGATTGTAGCATGAGTGCATACACATAATATCAATAGATTACAAGGTATACAAAATTTGTAACTAAACACTTTTAAAAGTGAGAGTATGTGAATCATAGGCAATTATGTTTCATTTTCATATATAACATGTTATAGTGTGGCACGTCATACATTAGAAACTTTATTCTATATTAAAGCAAGAAAACAAGCAAGAACATATATAATTTCACATATGACCTAACAACCAATCATCTATGACTTTAAGAAGTTTAATTTCTTCTCAAGCATAAATGTTCTGTATAAAACAAATTTTCTTAACATTTATTATTTTATAAAGTACTATTTTCTAAAGTATGACAATATTAATATCGTATTGTCAGTTGTTATTTTATCATCCATCAATTTTTATGCCATATAAACCGAAGAGTAACCATGTTACTAAGTGTAACTTGCTTTTTTTTTGCGAGGCTAAGTATAACTTACATACTAGCTATATAATTTAAAATTTCACCCGGGGCAACGCCCGGGTAAAACACTAGTTTGACCCTTTAGCCTATTCTAAATTATCATCAAATTCACTAATCTATCCTAAACTTCGTCCTTTTCAACAATTATTATGCTTTTTTTTTCTTTCAAAATTACACATTTTTTACAATATACCACTAAGATATAATCAATACTAGTTTGTAAACATAAACCTAAAAGAAGTGAAAAAATATGAAATATAAATATGATTTTCTTTTTAACTTTTACTAATTCATGTATGATGTATAGAAAGTGTAATTGGTAGAAAAATAGAAGTTTGAGTCTTTTTATAATAAAAGTTAAAGTATATGATAGATTTGTGAATTTGATGATAGTTGAGGATATATTTAGCTAATAATCCTTATTTCTATAATAATACTCAAATATTACGTCGTAAAAGTATCGGTTTTGAATTTCTTACTTTATTTTTGGTGATATAGTTAACTCTTACCTAGTAATCCGGGGCGGACCTACCCTATAAGGAGGGTAAGCATAGACTACACGTCAAAAATTTTGTTTAGCCTATGTGGTAGTATTAGGCAATTGAAGTTCTTCTAGTGCTACAGGTCAGAGATAGTGCTACAGGTCAGAGGGTCGACTCCCCTTGGTGCTACATGTTAGTTTTGTTTTTAAGTGCTTCCCTTACCTTCTTGAAATGGCTAATGTGGTCATACTTCTACTTTTGTTGTAATTTCTTACGGGGTATTATGGGCCGTATGGGATGATGCCATGATGGATTTGAGGTCCAAACTCCAAATGTCCAAGACCTTTAAATACCCCTCCCCCCAATCGGCAACTATATCAAAAAGTAATTCCAGCTTGCTTAGGCTTTTTAATTCTATGAAAATTTCAGGCTTTTTAATTCTATGAAAATATATGATGAAATCCTTATTACGGAGCACTCTTTTAACATGTTTATATTATATATTAATCTCTCTAAGTATCAATTTATTTAGCATTTAAACCATCAAGATTCAAGACTGCGTTTACTTGGACTGTTTTCTTTCCCAAATCAAACCACATATTTAAGAAGACTAGATAAAATTAAACTTTCATAGTTATAAAATGTCCAGAGATCAGACATTTACCGAAGCAGACCAGGTCAGACCAACAAATTTCAGTCCAAGTAAAAACATCACAGATGCAATATTAATTTTTGCTCTTATGGACTAAAAAAGTGTCGGTAATGAAATACGAAGTATAAGAATATACTGTTTAAATTCCGTACATAAAAAGTCATGTATTTGATAGCATTAATTATTCTCATGTAGTATACTACTATTACTATATTACATATATGTGTATTATTGCAACCTTCAATGCCTAGATCCGCCATTGCTAGTAATGATATTAACAATCAAAATTATCATATTTAATTTACAGAAACATCATGAATATCTAAGAATATGGATGTGACAAAAGTTGAGAACTTGTGGCTATACGACTTACGAGTTAAACATAGACTAAGAATCAAAGATCGATCACAAGTAGAACTAAGTAATTGTATATACGAAGTACGAAGCATATGTTTTGTTTCCAAAACAAAGCAATTTAGTTCTAATAGAAGGATAAAACTATTAATTTTTTTCGTTTATGATTGAATTAATAGATTTCTATTTCGATAAAGTAACACTAGGTAGTGTCCTATTATTTGATAAAATGTGTTAGGCATGTTTTAATTTTATTTAAAGAATATATTTCTCATAAAATTTTGATACATAATCACTGCAAGGTGTAGTAGCATTTGTATCAGATCGATGACCAAATATAAAAATATATTTAAAAAAATTAGATATAATAACGTCAAAAATTAGTCCCATCAAATTAACCTTTTAGACAAGATTTCAAATACAAAACATATGATATCAAAGTAAACTAAGCTCAAACAAGCTAGCAATGAGTTTGATCAAAACTTAAAAACTTAAAACTAATTTTAGGATTGATCGATCTCCTGAACTCCTCCAACTAAGTTTCATAGTTCATATTATGCAAACATGTCATGCACGCCAATTCAAATACATTAATACAAACTCACATGCAAAATTTTCGACTTTATCTCATGTCACATAAGTAGTATATTAAGTTTAGATTAAAACTACAAGTATTCATAGTGTTAAAGTACAATAAGAGTTAATCAGAATTTCATATTGGGACATATATAGTATAGATATAGTATTGGGATTTTTTCTCAATATTACTAAATTCAAGTCAATTTTTCAAAGTGTGATTACTTTTAAATTTTGACAAGATGTTATTGAAAGGGTCATATATTTTTAACACATGACGTCACTGTCATTTTTTTAATGTGGTGATAGGCCAATGTGGGCAACTTGGGATGATATTTATTGACTTAAATAGGGTGATGCTTACCTACATGAGACACGCCCGAAGTTCGTGCAAGAGCCTGTAGCTAACAATGAGTATCAGGAACGGAATGGTTGTTTGCTATATAAAGGGCGAGTGATCGTTCCAAATGATAGCAACATTCTGCTACAATTCACTTATGAGTTCCACAACATTGCAATTAGGGGTCGTTTAGGGGTAGTACACACATTCTAACGTTGAAAGCAAACATTTTATTGGCATGAGATGTGCTCTTGTAATCAACGAATATGTACGGGAGTGTAGTATATGTTAACGAGCTAAATCCAATTCACTTGCGCACCCCAGTTGGGTTGTTGTCCCAATTCAATTACTGGTTCTTACAAAAGTTATGGGCAAACATTAGTATGGATTTCGTGGAAGGACTACCTAATTAAATCAAAGACGAAAGGATAATGTGTTAGAGGTAATTGATCGACTCACCAAATATGCACACTTCTCACCATTAGCCCATTCATTTTCAACTAAAGACGTCGCACGAACATTGATACAGAATATAGTGCGTCTTTATGGTTTTCCGGAAATGATAGTAAGTGACAGAGATAATATATTTATGAGTCTATTTTGGAGAGATATATTCCACCTCCAATAAGCTACCATAAAAACGAGCTCGTCATACCACCTGGAATTGACGGCCAAACTGAGGTAGTCAACCGTTGTTTGGGGAAATATATGCGATGCTTCGTTCATAGCTTTCCAACCAAATGGGAAGATCACCTAGACTGAGTTGAACTCTTGTACAACACTACATATATCCTAGATTCACAGAATGACTCCTTTTGAAGGGCCATATGGTCGAACGCCTCCCATGATAAGATCTTACATGGATGGGTGATCTCAATTGGCAGAAGTTGATGTTCAGTTCACATTTCCTTGCTAAAAAAATGATAGACGACTTAGCAGCAATCAAACCTACGTCACTGCCATATTCTAGAGATGGACAACCCTTGTTTAAACAAAAGAGAGTGCTGCAGTCTTGCTCTGTTTGTACTAAACAGGGAGTCAGCAGGAAATATTGATAGATGGGCTGATTTGGGACTCGAGGATGTCACATGGGAGCCAAGGGAAGTGATAAAAAGTCAGTTCCCTCCTTGACCTTTGAGGACAAGGTTCGACCTTGTGAAGGGGGCTATGATGAAGATGGGTTTGATTGATCACCGACAAAGTAAGCAGGCTAGGAAGAGTTCAACTAGGCTTCAAGACTGTGGTAAAGTAGGAGTGCTGCCGGATTATTATTTAAACTTCAAGTTAAATGTTTCTGTATTAATATTTATTTAGCAATTAGAGTTGCGATAGAATGTTTGGGATCGATATTCCTGGCCAATAAGACTAGTATTTGTTTCGGATTATATTTCTATTTGATAGGTATGTTTTTTTGGGGTATAAATATGTACTCCCTTCGTCCCTAAATTATCTTCAAACTTTCCTTTTTGGTCCGTCCCTAAATTATCTCCTCTTTCCCTTTTTGGCAAAAGATTTGTGGTTCACAACAATTCTTACACATTTCTCTCTCCTCTGCACAACTCTCCACCACACAAAACTCACTATCTTAATCCTCGTGCCGGGTCAAAATGGGAGGTAAATTAGGGACGGAGGGAGTACATAATAGGGGTGGACCCAGTCCGCAGTCCCGGACCAATCCAAAACCGGGTCCGCTACCGTGCGGGACCAAACCGGGTTCGGTTTTCCGATCATGGGTTCCTTTGGGACCGAACTGTGCGGTTCTAGCCCCGATTCAGTCCCTGACAAGCCAATTTTTTTGCCTAGAAAATGAAAAAGAAAATAGAACAAAACCGAACCACCCAAGTTCTCGGGACCGGAATAGGATCCGTATAAACCGGGTCAGTTCTATGCTTCACCTTTCACGGACAGGGACCGACCGGTCCGACATCAAATCGGGACCGACAGGTCTAGGACCGGAATCGAGACCTGGATCGGAATCGGGATCAAGATTGGGACTGTGATCGGGACCAGGACCGGGACCAATCGGGACTGGGCCGGGACCAGAATCGGGACCGAGGCTGATCGGGAAGTGGACCGGAATCGGGACCGGGTCCATGCCTGATCAATAAACATCATTGAAAGCTTTTTAATTAAAATTGGTCTTCTATATAGAACCGGTCTCTTTGCACCATTAGCAAAGGTGGATCCATCAGATTCATGCAGGAGAAATGCAAAACTATAGGAATAAGCATGCTCTGGAAGAAGAAAAAGATAGACCATAAAAAACACAAGTGCTTAATATAAGAGATTAAGAATGACCGAATTTGCTATTCGTGAACGAGCAATGTAGTAGTTGGGGAATACATTTTCTTAGCAGTGTCGTCTCCGTTTCATTCTACTACCATTCGGCTGTTGGTTTTCAAAATTCTGAAAGGGAGAGTAACATATGTCGGGAACGAAGGCCGCAGAGTCAAAGGGGTTTTGGTTAGTTTTAGGCCAATGTAGTCCTGAGGCTGTGGGAGGGGAAGGAATTTGTGGAACTGCCCAAGATGCCTCCATGAACTGACCCAAGCACTCATCACTATCGTCCAGCTCTTCCTCATTGATCATGAAACTAGTAGTAGGGGGAGAGCTGTCAGGGTCTCCAAACTTCCCGTTGTCTGCCTGATAGGAGACATTGAAAACACGTTAATCACCGAACTAATTGGTTATTAACTAATAAATGAAGAATTGTAACTACATGAGACTTCCTCCATTTTTTATTATTTGCTACGTATTTCTTCTTGAAATTTTTTTATGATTTGCTACAGTTTCCGAATTTGGCAGGATTTAGTGATATGAATACATAAGTACTCGTATTACAATGTGCTTTTTTCTTTTTCTACCTTCTATTACGAAACATCATACCTTAGATGAGGTGCTGTCCATAAAACCATAATTCTGACCAAATTCATTTAATCCAAGAAATTCATCAAGCTGCCACTGTGGAATACTTCCAGCTGTAGAACCACCAGCAGATGGTGGCTTAGGAGGTCCAAAATTTTCGAACCCAGTTGTTTGCATGGGTAATACTTTATGATGAGATGTAATCGGGGCGTTTCTTCTAGAAACAGTTTGATGCTCCTGATCTGAGATTTTCTCCCCTGCTGACTGTGACTTCCCTGAGGATAGAGATGGAGCAGGTTCAGTAGGTTCAAGTCCAACTTTCACTCCAGTGAGCAGGAACCTCTGGTGAGCTGAGACGTGTGCATTAGTGGTGTGCACAGCAACATCACACTTCCTGCAGAGCAGAGCTCGATCCTCAAGACAGAAAAAGTACCCTACACTTTCCTATAAAACAGCAATCTTTCATAAGCATCAGAAAGGTGGGATATCACTCCAGGCCCGGACCTGTTATGTTAAAACTCTTATGCTATGTCAAAACGTTTTTCATGGATATAATTATATAAATATCAGTTTAGGCTTTGGATTTCCTTACATTTCAAACAATATGGAGTTACTACTTTGTGCACCAATGAGTTTAGAGGGAAAGCACTTGAAAATAATGTAAAATAATTCAATATTTTCTATATCACATTCAGCCATTCAGGATTCGTGTATTACTTGTTTTGACTTTTGATTGCTAAACCTTTTTCATTAACAGATAAATTCACAAAAGTGACATTTAAAAACAACACAAACTGAAATATGTGCAACTTCACACAAGAAAACAGAAGTACAAAAACGTCATCGCAGAAGTCAAATGTTAATTTAGTGTGATGAGTGCCGGGAGGTCCATGCTTTCAGAAAGTGCACAAGAATACAGAAGTACAAAAACGTCATCGCAGAAGTCAAATGTTAATTTAGTTTGCTTTTATTTTTCTGAGGTAAAGATACTATAATCAGATCCCCAGCAGAAGCTCAAAGTATAGAAAGTTGTGTGAGACTATATGACAAAGTCTTGACTGGTTCTAACCATTCTAAAATGTAACTTCAGTGCCCAACTAAAACACCACCAATAATAAATATAAAGCAAATAAGCCTCCATCCTCCTCTGCACCCAATGCAGGTATGAGCATACAAGAGGAAAAACTCTATGATGTGTGTGTGTGTTGTGTACTCTGTAGAGAGAAAAAGTACAAAGAATACACGACGGGGTTCTGAGTTTTTACTGGGACACTGAAATATGCACCTATTTGGAGTACTCTTAAGGTCTTGTAGAAGAATCATAAAAATATTTTGAGAGGTGATGATAGACTAGGTCAACGTTTCAAGCGTGATTCGAAACCTTACATCCATATTTAAATGGCAGACCCTTCACTATAGCAGTAAAGGAAGGATGATGGAGTAATGCAAACGGCTAGGTCAGCTAAAAGAACCGCTTAGCTTTGATTGTCTACCTAAGATTTAGTCATTTCCAAATGCTCAAGATTAAACATTTAGAATCGTGGAGAAAAATGAATGGGATCTGGGATCCTTTCAGAAAACTTTTTTAAAACGCATCCCCTCTAGTTCAAATTTCCAGTTTGCCCATTATTTGGGCGATTTTCAAAACGCCCACTAAGTAAGTGATTGTTCTAATAAAACACAATACTCTGAAATCAAGAAGCTACAAATTATAGATTTTATTTGGAACCGGAGATATTGGGTTTTCCAACTTTTGAATGAAATGTCCTCTCACAATCTTAATTTTCTCAGTCTTATTTTCTTTTTCCGTAATTTTGTAAGAAAATATCCCAATACCTAGTTTCCCAAACCCTTTAAGCAGCACCTCATATGCAAAACAATTTAAAATTTTTAACCAATAATTTAAAATAACATTACACATTTAAAACAATGCCTTTAATTGTTCAACGTTCAAACTATTAAGAACATTTTCAAACCGTCTACACAATCTCAGGGTATGTGAATATGTGATGAGGGGGGCATGTTGACATGGTGCGTTTGCCAATAGTGAGACAACAGCAAGATTTAATTTATTTTCCTTTCGGGGTGAGAGGGATGGATAACTTTTCTTTTGAATAAACAGAGAAGTGGTCTAGTACGATGGAGCTCAAGCTCCTGACAAAGTCCTTCACTCCTTCCTCACCCCATTGAGTTGAACCCCCTTCCTAAATATAGTACTCCAAGTTCCAAGCACTTTGGCACAAATGCTAAAATAATATTTTGGAAAACATCTTTTGCTAGGAGTAATGATATACAGTTGGAGAGCTAGAGATAACCAAAATTCACAAACATCGCCAACCCGAAGTGGTTCAAAAACATCACTATCCTGCCTTCTGTCTACCTGACTAGCCCAATCATTTATTCAAGTGAGTGTTATACGTTACAAAAACACATCTTTATTTTGGTTCACTCATTTTTATCATTTTAGAGAACTAAGCCAAAATGAAAACGGGCACTGCCTTTATGATATAGGCAGTATTAATTTCTTCCTCCCCTAAGTCAATGTAGTAGGTGTCCTTCCTTGTTTTGTAGAGATGAAGTGTGGAAAAGGGAAAATTGATGGTTCTGTCCTACCATGTATTGGCAGCATTTAATAGAATACGAACTAATGATTTCTTCTCGACCCTGTAAAGTCTAGAGATATCTTGATGAAATGTGGGCCCGGATTACAAATTTCTGTTTGTATTGGTTTCCTTGAGGCAGAGTTGAGAGTGAAATCCCCTTCCCATCACTCATTAGCTATGTCTATGAATAGATAGTTTAATTCTTCTGTACCCAGAAGCATTTAATGATTTTAATCTTGTTTAGCAGGATGATAGAATAGAAAGGATGGCACCAAAAACATACTTGCGCAGATAGTCAATTAAGCATATCCCTCATTTATTTCCAACTAAACCAATTATAGAACGTATTACAGTAAGCAAATAAAATTTACACGTGTATACACGAATGAAAATTGATGCTACCAGGCCTACAGTTTCTCAGTTTAGCCAAAATGAATGCAATTCCAGAATGAGTAGCGCAGATGCGCTAAAGGAAACAGATTTATATCCACATAAAAACGTTCCGGTTCAGAAAAATCAAATCAAATTTCCACATACTCCAAAAGTGAGAGATGACTGCTAACATACCTGGCAGATGTCGCACTTGGGCATGGAAGAAGACGAATCGGAGAGCGGGACTCTCTGGTGCTTAGAGGCGAGCTTATTGGCGGCGTGAACCTTCTCATCGCAGGACCAGCACAGCGCCGCCTCGTCGGCGCAGCACAGTACGTTCGCCTCCGCCACTTGACACACGTTGCACTGGATCTTCATCCTCCGCGTTCTCCTACAGCCTTCTGTTCAGAACAAACCCTAGATAGCTGGGAAAATATCTTCTCCCAGAAGTGTTATAGTGCGTTGGCAGTTTCGAGGGTGACTGGGTGAGGAAGAAGGAAAGGAGAAGGAAAATGAAAGAGAGAGGATATATTTGGCTGTCGGACTGGGAGTCCAGATGAATTTATCTTTGGTGAGCCAGTTGGCCACGTGTCGTAGTAAATGTGTTGTGCGGATGTGACCCAGCTGCGCTGTCGTCGGCGGTGTGAACGACACACGCGCTAGTCCTCAGGCATCACTATCATTTTTAATAAGACAAATAGTTAGTGGAGTGTTTGACACTTCATTCGGTAACGCTAAAATTGGTTGAATTGGTTGATTCTGTTGAAATTTAAGTTCTGCTCGAGGTAGTTGTATAGGCTGATTCTACTGATTCATATGAAAAATTTATATTTAAAATATTATTTATAAATAAAATAAAAATTATATGAAAAAATAGTTAAAATGATCTTATACATTAATTTCTGTCAATACAGCCAGCAAAGTAACTTCAACCTCATTTTTTCTACTTATTACATAATTCAGCGCGCGAAATCAAAAGTTACGTGTTTGATTAAAAAACTGGCTGAGAAGCCAAAAAATGGGTCACCAAACGGCTCTGAGTGCATGTGAAAAAGTACTTTTGGGTGCTTCAAATTATTCTTAGAAACATTTTTTTAAGTTGGGGGATATTAACTTGTGAAAAACTGATTCTGTTTTTGCTTCTATTTTTTATAAAGAAGCAGAAACAAATCAATTCCAAATACCCCTAAATGCTCCTCAACCTCTACGATAATGTAGTTCATGAACCAATATAGCAGAATAATACAAAAATAATAACATTACTGGCTTTCTATTAAATAAAATAGGACTTATTTTAGTTTTGGACAAAAAGAGACCAAATAAACCTCAATTGACCAAAATGTCCTCCATCTAGAAAACCTCAGAGCTTTACATGTTTCAACGTTGCAAAAAACTTCTAGATCGCCGTATTTCTCATTCGGATTGTCTGGCTTCATTCAGCACCTCCATCGCTGCACCTCATCACGCAGCGCGCCAGCCATTGTTGCACCTCACCTTTTCGGTCGTCGCATTGGTTCTGCTTCCAGGTCATCCCTTGCCGTCGCCCGCCACGTCATCACCCGTTGTCATTCTTCTACTTCTTCAATCGTTATATCTTATTGAAGAAATTATGGCTAGCCAGAGTAGCGATGTCAAAAGAAACCATCAGCCTCTATGTTTCTAGATCGTGACAACTAGACTTTTCAAATTTGGTTTGCGCGGAGTTGGGGAGACGAGAATTGAGAGCAAGGTGGGGGGTGGGCATGGGGCTAAGGGCGGGGTGGGAATAGTGGGCGGTGTCACCCATCAACCATGGCGGCGACGACGGCCAAGGTGGTTGACAGCAGTGTCACCAAGCAGATTTGATTGAAAGTTAGGTCACTGGGCAATTGTAATTGATATTGACCTGCGGTTAGGGCTGTGCACGGGTCGAGTTCGGGCGGGTCGGAACTGCGTACCCTAAACCCGTACGGGTTTTTAATATAAATACTAGGTCCGGCCCTTAGATATTTCAAATCGGGTATTTCGGATATTTTTAAGTCGGCTATTATCGGATATGGATCGGATTTCGGATATTTTGGTTATATTAAATCACATTATAGTTGGATAATTAAAGTGTTGGAATGCCACTTTGACAAAAATTGTATACACTAGTGCACTACACATTCAAATCACACAAATAATTTAACGCAAATTGCACAAATAATTACACAAATAATTGAACATGATTATTATTCAAAGTACACACTACATAACTTAATATATTTCGGATATTTCGGGCGAGTCGGGATTTTACAAACCCTACCCGCCACCCGGTCCAGGCCTAAATCTAATCGGATTTTCGGTTTCGGGTTTTTGGGTCGGATATCCATATCCAATAGGATAACATCTGGAAAAAAAGTCTGACTTTGCGGGTCGGTTCGAGTTTTGCTCAGCCCTACCTGCAGTGATCACAATGAACAATTATCACTGACCAACCACATGGTCAATGTCTGATTGGTCATTGGAGAGTGGTCATCGGATCGAGTCAGGTCACCATCAGATAAATTAATTGGAGAATTTGACTTTGCACTCTATGTTTTGGGTGGTATCGTATTTTGCACTCTATTTTCAAAATCATTAATGTCTGCACCCTAATAGCCCAAAAATTGTGTAGGAATAGACTGCAAAGTCAAATGATTTTATAAGGAATTAGAGTGCACTTTTAATGATTTTGAAAATAGTGTTCAATGTCAAATATTCACTCATAACAGGAAGTGCACAATCAAATTTTGCATAGAGTACTTTAGTAGTTTAGTAGGCCTAATGCTTATTAGTCAAGTTCTCCCTAAGATAATTTAGTAAGCCTAATGCTTCGGATGTTACTAGTTATATATTTTCAGTTGGTCAGAGTGGTTTTAGAGTTTCTTGGTTGAGTTAATATTATGAATCTAATCTAAAAACATTATAATTGTGAGTGTTGGTTAGTATTCTTTAATTGTGTCAATACTTTCATTGTATGAGCACTTGTATTTTGTTATTAAATGTTATACTCGAATCTTGATGGACAAAAATGTCTTGTCACGGAGTCACCATTAGTAGCAATTGACAACTGCTTGCAATAAAAGTTACTCCGTTCTTCAAGTGCGCAATTTGCATTTAGGATGTTTTTACTTGGACTATAATTTGTTGGTCTTGTCTGATTTTTTTTTTTGTGTTTTTACAACTCTTCAAGTCTGGTCTGGTCTATTCTAATCTGGTATGGTCTGGGACAGATTATAGTCCAATTAAAAACGTCTTTATACATTCGTACGGTTGGTCTTTTTAAGAAAATGGCCCATACTTTAGTCTATAGATTAAAATTGTGTATTTATGAAAGAAGCACTATTTACAAATTACAAAATGATATTCACATTGAAAAATACAGAATACTTTTGAAATGATTTAGATTTGTTAAAATGGTTAATCACTTAGAGTTGCAATTGAAATGAATAAACTATGATAAAATAGAAATAATTACACAAATATGACCAAAATAAAGATGATTTACAAAAATATGATTATTTACTAGAGTAGTAATGAAATCATAGAAATTCATGTTCAAGTTTTGAACTTAAGTTACTACAACACTACGTTGTAGTAATGAATAGTCATATTTATGTGAATGAGTTTTATTTTAGTAGTATTCTTTTAAAAAAAACCGATAAAATATGAGGAGTACTAAATTGTTAAACTATTTTATACTTAATTATTGTTGGCTCTAACCTTTATAGGAGGTATATAAATTACAAAAAGCCCTTTATTAAATTAGAAGATTAAGGATTTGTCTCGTAAGCTTTAAAATGAACTCATGTCATTGAGTCTTTGTCTTAAAATTGAATTGTCCAAAACTATTGAACTACCAAGAGATTATGTTAAATTAAAAGATACTACGTACTCCGTATTTTATCACTGCAAATGTTCCAATTTCATATTCATCAGGTTGATTGACAAAAACACAAAAAAAATCTACCGAAGTACAAAAAATAAATTTATACTATCGGTATATCATTAAAAGTGAAACTGCAAAAATAATTGGAAACCTAAATTTATCATCTTAGTTGATAATACTAAAATTGTAAACAATTAGGGTAAATAAAATGGTCACAAAAATTAAAAGAAGACTCGGGAAAATCCACATGTACAATTTAGCATCGTTAATGATAAATTGTATTGTTGGACATTGACTCTCGCGCATTGCGCGTAAAAAATACAGTACCAGTTTTCAAAGTATTTGTAAATCATAAGCTAAATACAAAAGTACTATGTATGACCTTTTTTTTAAATTCCATAAACAGAAGTAATTATATGTGCACGGACAATTATATCCCTGCAGAATTTTGGAGTACCCCATGCATCCACCACCAGCCACCCGATGTCGGCCACTACCGCCGCCACCAACCGAGTTGTCGTCCAAAGCGGACGGAAGTTGCTGAAACTTTTGAGAGTGCACACACGATGCCGCCGTCGATCACCACCATCACCACCAATGGATTGATTCATCATCAATGGAATTAGAGAGGTAGGAGTACAAATGTACTCCCTCCGTCCCGTTGGAATGTTCCCGTTCACTATTCATTGGTCAACTTAGGACACTCCTAATCTTTTACTTTATATATTAATTTTTTATCAAATTGAACTTTTCTTGATCAGGCTTTGTAGCGTTTTTAATGTAGTTTATGAATATGTAAATTTTATTTACTAAAAATAAGCGGAGTGTGAACAGAGATCAAGTTGCTTTATCGTCAGTCAAACATCGTAAACCGAACGGGAACATTCCAACGGGACGGAGGTAGTAATAATTAATTTTATTTAGAGCCTGTTTTGTAAAACGAAAATCAGCCGATTCTGCTGAAATTTATGCAAGTAGAAGCGGCCTCTTTAGTGATGGCAAAGGGGCGGATCGGGGACGGGTACACATAAAACCGGAACCGCCCCGTTGGATAAATGTTTGCCCCAAAACCGCCCCATTACTCGTTCGGGTAATTTTTATTTGAACCGTATCCGCCCCAACGGGGAATCGGTTTATCCACGGGTAACCGTTTCCCCAAATGATACCAGATAACCAACTTTTTTTTGGGAAAACAAATAACCAATTGTTAATCCTACTTGTTATTTATATATTCAAAGCACCCTAAAACATACAAAAGTAAACATTTAAGCAATCAAGCAGACTGACCTAAATTAATAGTATGACATGCACCCAATATCTCTTGTAACATAATAAAAAAGTAGTAATCGTCCCAGAATCCAAATTTCAAAAACAGGTTTAGGCCTATATTTAGTTTTAGGCCTTAAAAAGTAGTATACTTTTTAGCATTATTTATATGATATATAGTTATATACTATTTATTATACACAATTTAGCATATATAGTTATTATTCTTATACCCGGAGTATATAAAAAGTTATAATTTATTAATAATGTTATGGATCGGGTAACGGTGCGGGTACTCGCACCACTAATGAACGGGGCGGTTTCGGGGCAGATAACGGGGTGGATTAGTATAGAACCATAATCGCACCATTAATTATTTAAAAAAATCAGGTATTCCCCGC